GTATTATAATTTATCAAAGTCTGGGCATTCATTCTGTTACCGTTACTTATTTCATCCACGTGAGGGGTGGGATTTTGTTTTGTTTTTTGATAATCTTTTTATTAAAAATAGTAAATGATGGTATTCTGACCGTCACGTAGGAAGTCAACTCATTATGGTCATACTTAGTCAGCATTACTAACAAAAAAGTTGACGGAGAGTTAACGTTTGGATAATTTTTAGGAATTCAATAGATTTGGTTAAAATAAAAGAATCTGAAAAAGGTTTGGGTAAAAAATAGACATTGCCCAAGTTTTTATTTCAGGACTGAACTCATCCCCAACTTTAGATAAAAAGTTTGGAGGGAAAGAAGGAAGATAATTGTTCTATCTTTTTGGACTAGTTGTTGTTTAATTATTCTTCTGTCTATGATAATTGTGATTATACAGTCCTGTGTCTTCAGTTGTGATTCGAAATAGAATTTGGTGACTTTGCTCTTGTTTTGAACCCCTCTGAACTCTTGACATTATTTCGGTTATGATCTCTAAATAATGGACGTTACGTGAAACTCATTCAGTGTAATCCTCATTTCCCATGTATGTTTCATCTTATTTTCTCCGTTCTTAACATTTTTTTTGGGGTTATAGGCATAATATGCTCCTCTACTATGACGTTTTATCAAACAGGCCCCTCTACTATTTTTTACATCAAACATGCCCCTGTACTTTGGAAAACTTATCAAACATGCCCTTTTGTCAAAATTTCCATCCAAAAACCGTTAAACAAGACCGAACTTTGGTTTGGGAGACCCAAATATCTAAAATATCCCTAATAATTTCACTTTAGAGTTTTTTTTTGTTCTTTTGTATAGCCAAATAATTCTAATAATTTCACTTTGACGAGACCTAGAGAAATAAAACAATGGCCAAAACTGACATTTCCCCTCCCATTTATCGATGTCAGGTCGTCTAAATCTCGGTTCAACCATGATTGACGATTTTTTAAAAGGAAATTTCAACTGAAGGGCATGTTTGATAGTTTTTCCAAATTACAGGGACATGTTTGATGTAAAAATAATAGAGATGCATGTTTGATAAAACGTTATAGTAGAGAGGGGCATATTATACCTATAACCTTTTTTTTTTTCTTTTCAAAATGGAGTTGTCTTACCTAGTGGTACAACACGTCCACTCACAGTTGGCCGGTACTTGTTAATTTGACTATCGCTGTGCAAGATATCATTTATCATGAAATTCAAAAACGGAGTTAACTGAATCGAGATAGTACTACTGGCAAATAACAATATAACATGAGCAACTGGGGTGGGGTAAAAGTAAAACATAAGTATTTGGGAAAGTGCTGGTATAATTGGATGGGCTAAGAAGTGACCAGTTATTATTAGTGTTACTTCACATCCAAAGTTCTATGCTATATATCTATTCTAACTCATATCCCTCTTTTCAGACTTTCTATTTCTGTTTATTTGATCTGATCTTTTTTCACAGTTGAATGAGTCCAAATTCAATTGAACAGAGGAAACACACAAACACAAGTACCTTTTGTTCTTCTTCTTTAAAGACACAACGACAGAAGTACTTTGCTCGCATGATTGATTCATTGTCATGCATGTTTCATATATAATTGAATGATGCCAACCCTTCCTTCTCGCTGTTGGGAATATTTTGCCCTAGATTCCACTTTTGCCACTCTCACACTAGGCCTAATTTATAGTCCTTGTTCGGATAAATAACGTTTCCATACGCCAATTTTTTTTTATAAAGTATGTATCTGTACTGTGTCGTTATTTGTCTATAAGACTTCTTTATTAGAATTGTGATGTACGTTGATTTCTCGTGTGACCAACCTTACGCGTAGTATTTTTATTTTCTTGCACGTCATCGAGAAGCGTAAAGATGAGATCGATGAGATCGAATGGATGGATACCGAATGAAAATTGGACCATACATGACATGTCTAGATCTGTTTACTAATCAATCATGATGGGAGCATATTGGTCGGATTCTTCTGTGTGAACAAAGAGATGGTGGGACAATTGGTACCTCGATTAGTAGTCAACCTCTAATCCACGTTGACTTATTGATGGGGTGGTTGAATTGGGAACAAAACAAACCATTGTCCAATCAACGTGGAGAACAATTTTTTATTTCTCTACTTTAAATTAAGGTCTTGTGGGCAGCTAGTGGCACTATAGATATTGAGTTAGGTCTGACCATACGTAGCTCTTGATTGAGTAAGCTTTTGCCTTACTCACAATCCATCTCTGGGCTGGGTCCATATCTTTTGGGCTTCGGCCCACCCTTTTAAAATGTTAAGGTTTTACACATGACCCAATGGGTCGAGCCCAACAGAACTGAATAACTAAAACCACACTCATGAGCCATGACTCATTACCGTGGTTAACTACTTAACTTGTTAGACGATGGAGCTGCTTTTTGCAGTTCGAGTGTTCCTGTCATCCTGTGAGTTGCCCATGCCATTGTTCAATTGTTGCACAAGGGATTGCTTCGGTTAGGGCTGGGAAACGGTGCGATCTGGCTATACATACATTTTATGGTCCAAATCGAGAGGCCGGAGTATAGATCAGAGACTAGATCATGTACCATACGATCCAGACCAAATCACGTCAATGCGGCCTAGTTCGGTACGGTCTGGTCCAGATAGACTGATAGACCACAATGAATGAAAAATGAACAATTCCTTTAGTCAATCACACAAAAAATTGAATCAATAATCAATTTTTTTTTTTTTTTTTGCATTAAAACATAAACTCCAACATGCATGAAGAATTTTGACACTCTTAATCTCAGTAAACAACAAAAATACAAAGTCAAAGCATCCCAACTTGCACCATAACATCATAAACATTAACATAATGTCATATGGAGACACGATCGTCTTTACTCTCTTGTGAAATGCGATTGTGAATGAAAGAGGGGACGTGTTTCTCAAAATTAGGGTTGAGACTTGGGTCTCGTTGGTGGAATCCGGAGAGTGATCGAGTGGGTTGCTAACACGTATTGGGAAGTCGACTGGGTCCACGATTTGGTCTGGTAAACCGCGATCTAGATCAGACCGGACTAAGAGATCAAAACATCATATAATACAGATCATGGACCATACCAGACCAGACCATTCTTAACGATCTCTGGTTTGTTCATGATTTTTCAAACGGTCTGATCTATTTTCCGTCATGGAGAACGAATGGCTTGGTAAATGCTCCTCCAACGGCCTTGGCAATCTATTAACACCTTGGAGTCTAGGTGGTGTCGGGTCGATGGCCTTGGCACAAAGTTTGGGTGTTGAGTTGGTGATGAATTGAACCTGGCTTAAGGGTCTTTCTCGCCATCTGACTTGTTGGATGGGGTTGAAGACTTGTTGGTCGGGTCATACCTCAAATCCTTGATCATCCTGCTTCCATGAAGGAGTACTCTACGCATAGATGTAGACTTGGCAAGCCTCAGCACTTTGCTTTTGATGCAAGGCTCATCTTGTCACCCTACCATTTGAGCCTCCCTGGTAGCCTCGACGACCTTGGCAAAGAAGCCATCCAGCTTGGTCCATGTGAGAGCCTCACTACCATCAATGCTTCATGCTTATTCTCTTCGCCACTCATCATATTTCCAACTAGCTCGATGAAACTGCCTTGCCAGCTAAGACTTGTTACTTGGAAGTTGGATCTACCCACCTAGCTTAGTGAGACAAACCAACTTGAGTTTATGGGATGAGGATTAGCCTTTTATGTCTCCATAGCCTTTATAGGATCTCATAGGAGTCTCACCGTCAAGTAGGGCTAGCTATTTGATCCGGGCTATTTGGTTTTACTCGAAACCGGACCGTATAACCCGGACCGGAATAGGAATCGGATAGCAAACAATCCAATCCAATTTTCGGGTTTAGATTTGAGTTAAAAAACCGTTTGGGACCGGATCGAAAACCGGATAAAGACCGGATAAGAGAGCCCAACAGCCAAAAGTTAACCAACTCCTCACCCTTTGAGTCCTCATGCAACTCAAATCCCCACAAGTTCAATATAAAATCAACACCGAATTGGGACCGGATCAAGATCAGACTGTATCCAATCCAATCTTTGATCCTTATATTCCCAAAAAGACCGGTCTAGAACCGGATCAATTTAGGTCAATTTAACTGGACCGAACCCTATAGCCACCCCTACTGTCAAGGCTCCATACTTAAGCATTAACGCTTGTTACATCTCCACCTTGCCCAGGGATCCACCACCATGCCTAAGTACCTTACCGCCAAGGCTCCACACTCGGCCATGGTTGGCTAAAACATCATGCCTCACAAACTTCCACGACCAATGTTCCTTAGTTCGGGAGAGTGAGACTAAGTACCTTACCATCAAGGCTCTACACTCGGCCATGGTTGGCTAAAACACCATGCCTCACAAACCTCCACGACCAATGTTCCTTAGTTCGGGAGAGTGAGACTAAGTACCTTACCGTCAAGGCTCCACACTCGGCCATGGTTGGCTAAAACACCATGCCTCACAAACCTCCACCATGCCTTACAAACCTCCACGACCAATGTTCCTTAGTTCGGGAGACTGAGACTAAATACCTTACCGTCAAGGCTCTACACTCGGCCATGGTTGGCTAAAACACCATGCCTCACAAACTTCCACGACCAATGTTCCTTAGTTCGGAAGAGTGAGACTCCACCCCCACTGAACCTATACCTTCCACGACCAATGTTCCCACTTACCCACACTCGGCATACCGAAAACCGATAAAGTCGGTAACTGGTTTACCGGTTACCGACCAATACCACTTCTAACTAAATCATCGTTGGAAGATTGTATCAAGCACTCACGTTTTGAAAATTTTCCTTGCAAATATCGACCGACCATATCGAATGTAGACCCACAAACTTGCTCCAACCTAACAATTTTCACAACTACCTTCTTCCGTGATGGCGAAACGTTTGTCCACATAACATAACAGCACAAAACCCCTAGTCCACAACGTTCCCGCTTTCTCGATTTCAGCCACAAATAGGTGATGTCCATTTCCACCTTAATCAAATCGGCAATTCGGCATACCCAGAAAGAAAGAAAGAAACTGTGCCAAGCGGCGAGCTCTCACTTGCTCTCCAACTCCAACCATGGCGCTTCTCTCAACTGCACACTCATCTCTCTTCTTCTCCTCCTCCTCCAAAACCCCTAATTCCGCTACCGCAATTCACCATCCCAAAACCCATATCCCCGCCTCGTTTCTCTCCCTCCCCAAAACCCTCAAACAGTCATTAACATCTCATCCGCTTCAATTCACTTCCCGATTCTCGTCCCTTCTCCGGCGCTCCTCAGCTGCCAGCGAAGAATCGGAATCGGACGGGGTTACCGACGAATGGGGCGAGAAGCCGGAGCCGAAGTCAGAGTCCCCCAAGGCTGCCGCCGTGGATCCTCCGGTGAATGAGGATGAGTGGGAGGAGGGGTACTCCGCCGCCGCAGTGGGTAACGGGAACACTGCTCCGACGAAAGTGGACGACGCTACCGAGGCGCTGAAGAGGAGTCTGGCGGATACAGTTTACGGTACGGATTTGGGGTTCCGGGCGGGTTCGGAGGTCCGGGCTGAGGTGTCTGAGTTGGTGAGCCAGCTGGAGGCCGTGAATCCCACTCCGGCGCCTGTTGACGCGGCTCCGTTGCTCGATGGCAACTGGGTTTTGTTGTAAGTCTCCGACTTCCAGTTGATTGCTATTCAGATTTTCTTAATGGGTGGTTTTGCATCCGAGTATACTTAACTGAACTGTCAACCCATTAATCTCTGGTAGCTCTGTTTAAGCTCGAATGTCAATATTTGTTCTCGTGAAGTTGGATTTGATAGAATTGCGCCATTGGTCTCCCCAATTCACGCCAAATGAGCCCTTAGAAGTCCGGTTCGCGTCGTGATCGATTCAAATGCTTTGATGCCTTTACTATGCTGGATTGCTGGTTGTACCGTTCTTGATGTTTTCAACTACCTAAATTCAAGGCGATTAAGGCTATGCATTATGCATAGAATATGTGTATCCTTTCATGGCTTTGGCTTCAGCATCCTCATCTGTTTACACCTCTGTGATTGAAGCATAATCTGTAACTCCCATCTTACAAATTGCATTCAACAACATAAGCTTTTGACCTATACTTTAATGCTGTTTGGATGTATGTTGCAGCAATAAACTGATAGCGGTTTTATGTCACTGTGATTATATCATGCTGTTTGGATGTGTGTTGAACAGTCTATTCACATAAACTTCATCCGAAGCTCACGAGACCAGACAATAATACGCTTTAGTTATTGTTATATAGCAAGAGTCGTCTGAATGTCCTGTTAGTCTCTTGGTACTATTACTATTGCGATTTATGGGATTCATTTGGACAAATCTACATCTTGAACTGTGTTTGCCCTTTACTATGTATTTGGCTGATTGGTTATTCGTTTCCTCTCCATTTTTTAATGCAGATATACTTCGACTTCCGAGCTCTTGCCCCTTCTGGCAGCTGGTTCAACACCCTTGCTAAAGGTGAAAAGGATAGCTCAGTTGATCAATACCAGCAATAACACCATTGTGAACTCGACCACTTTGTCGAGCCCTTTTGCTGATTTTTCATTCAGCGCAACTGCAAACTTCGAAGTCCGAAGCCCTTCAAGAATACAGGTAAAGTAACACTTTGTTCCTTTGAATCCTTGTGGACGATAATATGAAGGGGTGTGTGCATTGGTCAGTTGGGTTAATTACGTCTGGTTTCAAGTGGGTTAAGCTGGGTAGCACGAATAGGTCAGGTCTCGGTTAGTTTTGTTCACCCACCTGTCACTTGCTCATGGTATTATCATCAATTGAGAAGATAATACAAGAGCAGTTGAATCTCTTGGACTGATTGTACCGTTAATATTTTGCTGCAATGTCTTTCAAACATGATCATTCATTTCCACTATCCTTCACAGGTTGAATTCAAGGAAGGAACTCTGCAGCCTCCGGATGTAAAGACCAGCATTGATCTCCCAGACGAAATCGATCTATTTGGGCAGAAGATCAGCTTGTCCCCGGCTCTTCAGTCTCTGGGTCCTCTGCAGGACTCCGTGGCTACCATCTCGAGGGCCATTTCCGGCCAGTCCCCACTCAAGGTCCCCATTCCAGGCAGCCGAACCAGGTCGTGGCTCCTGACCACCTACCTCGACGAGGATCTCCGGATTTCAAGAGGCGACGGCGGTCTTTTCATACTTGCCAAGGAAGGAAGCCCTCTTTTGAATCTGTAACCAGCCAGATAAGTATATACTCACTCGATTATGTACCTGATGAAGTAGATCTATGCGGCTAGTCGTTGTTGTTGTTGTTGTTGTTGTTGTTGTTTTCTCCTCGGTTTATCTCCATTGTAGTAACTTTGACAGTGAGGATTTAAGAACATGACGCCGGTTTGTCAAGTCAGACTTCGGTTAGAAAAGGGAAATTCTAGCCGGCAAATAAAGCCGAGTCGTCGTGGCGCCCATCACGGCGAACATCACATTCATTCGGTTAGAAAAGGGGAAAATAAATACAATTATCTCATTCTCTCTTCTAGACTCATTGACTCCTTCCTTCTCAGCTCTTTGATCATTTCCTCCTCCAGCCAGCCTGTTCTCCCAAAATTTCCCCTCTCCCTTGAACTCGTCGTCGCCGCCGGACGAACCGAAATGATGACGACCCACCGGCCGAAGCTGGACGAGGCCCAGATCGCCGACCTCCGGGGGATATTCCGGTCCTTCGACCGCAACAAGGACGGCAGCCTGACGCAGATCGAGCTCGCCTCCCTGATCCGATCGATCGGCCTGAATCCGAGCTCCGACGAGGTCAGGGCGCTGATCCAGAGGGCCGACACGAACAACAACGGCCTGGTCGAGTTCACTGAGTTCCTGGCGATGCTGGCGCCGACGGAGGAGGAGGAGGAGCCGGCGTACGGGGAGCAGCAGCTGAGGAAGCTGTTCAGGATGTTCGATCGGGACGGGAACGGGTACATAACTGCGGCGGAGCTGGCGCACTCGATGGCGAGGCTGGGCCACGAGCTGACGGCGGAGGAGGTCGCCGGGATGATCCGGGAGGCGGATACCGACGGCGATGGGCGGATTAGCTTCCCGGAATTTTCACGCGCAATTTCTTCCGCTGCGTTCCTGAACTCCTGGGCTTAGATTGAAGCTAAGAGGTCGAGCGAAACGGTGCCGTATTTTGTCAGTTATTACACGATGATTGTCCATGTTGAAGTTTAGATTAGATTTTTCTCGTGGGTTTGTTCTCAAGTTTGTGGAAGACATGATTACTTGTTACAAGAACTCTCAAAATTTGCTCAATCTCAAATTGCTTGCTTAGCCATAGGATGGTTTATGGATAGACTAGCTAACCCCTCTAAAAGGTTGGAAAAATGACACTATCTATTAATTATAATTAATTTTTTGTGTTGTATTTAATAATCTTTTTAAACAAAAAAACTCATATTAATTACATTCATTTTTTTAACTATCATTGCACTAATACAAGTACAATTACAATGAAAAAATTAATTAATACAGGTTTTTAATTTTCAGAGACTAATAAATGCAACACAAATTTATTACTTTATAATTAATAGGAGTGTCATTTTTTCAACCTATGTAAGGGTAATCATGCTATCTCACCCCACGATTCTACATATTACAAATATACTAATTTCCTTTTGTATGTATACTATGTAAATATCTTTTGGATACAAATATTTAGAACAACAGTTGTAACATAAGATGTGCCGTGTATCTACGAGTTGTATATTCAAAATCAGCATTCAATCGAAGAGAGTCGGGTTCCATAAAAAAAAATCATCATCCAATCTTAAACATTAATTTTAGCAACAAATACGAATGGATTCTGACGGGTCAATCAAGTTACAGTCCCATATATATTTACCAAGACTCTGGAGTCCCTTCTTGCCCCAACAAACAATTCCCTTTGCTTTTCACTTGTTGCACTAGCTAATCAAATTCTCTTCAAACACCAGAATAAACTATGGTGAAATTTGGGTTAATTGCAAGGATGGTCACTGGGTTTACTAAAACCGTTTATGTTTGGTCACTGCAAATATTTAATTTCATTCATGGTCACTAAGATTAGTTCAATAGTTCAAGTTTGGTCACTCTCCGTTAGTCTCTGTTAGTTTTTGCTTATGTGGCAGTCAACTATTATAGTTGACCGTTAAATGAGTGACGTGGCCATTAAAAAATTAATAAAATAATAAAATTTAAATATTTACAATTTACACTTCATTTTACAACTATTAAAAAATAAAAATAAAACTTACCGCCGCCGCCGCTGCGCTCATGACCAAATCCCTCGCCCACAGCGTTGTTGACATTCAATTGAGTAGTGACAGATTTGTTGACATTTAATTGTGACAAATCCTCCGATGAATAGAGAGCAGCGAACCGCAATTTCTCCCGAGTTGTTGTTGTCCACGGAGGAGAAGAAGGGGGAACAGACGACTGCTACCGACACACAAAAGTCCCCCGCTTTACTGGCGAACGTCATCGCCAACATTTTGTTCAAACTCCCGGCGAGTTCTCTGTTCCGATTCAGGCTCTTGTCCCGTAAGTACCTCAATCTAATCCAATCCCCTGATTTTATCGCCGCCCACGCCCGCGATTCTTACCTTAATCGCGCCGGTCTCCTCCTCCTCGCCGACGGGAACTGAAGACCGGCTTTGACCGACCTGGAGACGGGCTTCTTCTTAGGGCCACCGCCCTTCCTGCCACCGACTCCCTTCTTCACCTTAGTTGCGGCATCCATTTCGAGAGAATAAGATTGACTGCGACTGAAACTGACCGGCGATTAAATTTGGAGTGCGAGAGATAGGAAGGCTGAGAGACGGTGAATGATGCGGTGGTTTCACGGCGCGAACGGCAACTATTGTTCACATTGTTGTAAGTTTTATTTTTATACTTTTTAATAGTTGTAAAATGAGGTGTAAATTGTAAATATTTAAATTTTATTATTTTATTATTTTTTAATGGCCACGTCACTCATTTAACGGTCAACTATAATAGTTGACTGCCACATCAGCAAAAACTAACGGAGACTAACGGAGAGTGACCAAATTTGAACTATTGAACTAATCTTAGTGACCATGAATGGAATTAAATATTTGCAGTGACCAAACATGAACGGTTTTAGTAAACCCAGTGACCATCCTTGCAATTAACCCGGTGAAATTTTGTCTGTCGAAAATCTTTTCAATTCTTCTAAACAAATTAATTTCTTTTGGTTGTGAATAATAAATTCATATACACTTCTAAGCGGTCCGATTGGACGAATGGATATGATAGCAAACAACGACGATATTTTTTTTTTATAAGACATCGATTTAATTTTATTGTTAGGCGCTACTTAAAAATTTTGAACCTATTACCTCATAGTTGAAAACCAACGTTAGAACTCCTTGACCAAAAAAAAAACCAACGTTAGAACCCGCCAATAGAATACACTTTCCAGAGCGACGTGTAAGGAAGTAACCAAAAAAATTCTCCTAGCAGCTCTACATCAGTGACAAAAGAAATTAGGTAAGTTGAATCATGCCTTCTTGTTCTTCTTCCTGGATTTAAGCATCACAGAGCCAACGAACAGAGACAGTAAGGAGAGAAGGGCTACACCAGCGAATACCGGTATGATAATGGCATACTCCAGAGGCAGGAAATATTGGTGAACGAAGTGATCGCTGTCTACAAATGGCTGGAAAAAGAACAAGATATCAGCTGGTAAAAAAGTAGAAACCGGTATTATCAAAAGATCTGATATAGTGCAAGTGATTAGAACATATGATCTTTTACCACGATGATAACCCAGAAGGTAAAATATGTAAAGATAGATAAGCTGATGAGAGTCAACAGAAGCCCAACTGCTCTATCTGCTAATTCCATCTCAGTTGCTCCCTGACTGTGAATACAATGGTAAATCGGTGATTAGGAGAGGAAAAGGATGGAATATTTTGCTATCTAGGTGCAACTTCTTTCAACCAACTTAGCAAAATGAGCAAATAGTCCAACAATCGACACAACTTAAAATGATGCTATGAAACAATCATTCGGAGCGAAAAAATAGCAGCCCTAGGCTCAAGCTCTTAACGACTTTACTTTTGGACAACCCTAATTAGGACAGGAGCCACAAGATGGCAACACTCAAAACCTAACACAGCAAATCATGAACTGCACAGTAATCCTTCCCAGCATGAAAACAACACTACCTCTACATAGTAATTTAATGAGAATGCAGCCAGCCTAACTGGACCTTGTAGAGCAATTGCTACATATCTTGGTTTTCAGCTCAATCGAGGAAAACGCACAACAAAACAAGTTTCTCCCGTTTGGCATTTGTATGAACTTTTAACTCCAACACGACAAAGATTCCTACCGTCGGCAAGTATCACCTGATCCCCCCACACCAAACTATTAGCATCTTCGCTACAAACAGGATGCACTACCATCAGCATTTCCTTTTGTTTCTGGAACATGCCAACGTCTCGTTTCCATGAACAAACACGAAATCGATAAGCCAGCCAGAAAAAGAAGCCATGTTGGCTACTGGAAAATCAACCATGATTCCCCGCAACAGAAACAAATATCACCTATCCAAACAAACCCAGATACTAGGCTTATGCCACTGGTACCAACGACCAAAGCCATTGTTCGCATGGCACAACTAACAGCTTGAGTTGGAATCCCATGTAGCCAAGTAACCTAAGAAAATGGTTTGTTACTGCTAATCAAACCCCCTTTTATCTAGTGAGGCAAAATCCTAACGGTAGCCATCAACTGAACTAGTTCCCCAAAGGCAGAACATTTTAACAAAGAATCTAAGCAGAACAACTCTACCTACAGCTGTTAAAGCCTTGATTCTGCAATACCAAACTCTGACCATTCTCCAGTCTACAAGAACTACTCAATTGAAGCAACCCGGCTAAAATGGAGGATATTCGACCTAAAACTTCAAGCATATATTACAAAAACTGAAACTCGAATGACTCTAAACATCATCTTCTTTCATTTCACAAAATGAAAACAATCCAGTGATCACAAGTCCTCATGTCAATATTGGCTCGAGAATTAACGAGATCTCAATTAGGACAATCAAAAGCCACAAAAAAAAATTAGCGCGAAGGTTTCAGTTTCATTACCCGTCAACAGATTCGCTCGAAGTCGCTACCTCAAAGTGCGATTCAGACGACCTTCAAGGTTTTGCCGAGCGATCGAATCGCAACAGAGCCGCTTCCGACGGCTTAGACTGTTTGTGCGATCTGAAGAGAAAGAACAAGAACTAAGAAGAAGGCTTGTAATGTCAAATCTTTAGTACCTCTACCATTTCAATTCAATGAGTAAGTCCTTGATTTATAAACATTTGACAAACAAGTCCCTTCGTTCGAAAAAAAGGCGCAAACTTTGACGTAATAAACATGAAGCAGGAGGAGAAGATGAAACAAACTGCCATTTCTCTATGAGAAGTGCCGTCAAGTCTCTGCTCGTTCCAAACCCAGCTGCGAATTTCGAAGCTTACGTATCCAAATGCTTGTCGCTCTTCAAAACCACCACCATCGCCCGAGGAACCGTCCTCCATGGCCATTTGATCAAAACCGGTACTTCCTCCGAGAGGTACATCTCCGTGAAGCTCCTGATAATGTATCTAACTGGCCGGAAACCCGTAGAAGCTCATCAGGTTGCGAAGGAATTCGATCGGTTTGATCTCGTCGTGCACAACTGTTTCATAAATGCCAACATCCAGTCGGGGGAACTTGACAAAGCTCGCAAGGTGTTCGACGAAATGCCCGAGAGAAACGAGGTGTCGTGGACTTCGTTGCTTTCGGGGTTCATGAAGTCGGGGAGAGTTGACGAGTCATTGTGGTATTTTAGGAGGAACCCGTTTCAGAATGTGGTTTCTTGGACGGCTGTGATTAGCGGGTTCGTCCAAAATGGTTTGATGTTAGAGGCTTTGAGCATGTTCTTGGAGCTCTGTGAATCAGAGATCAGGCCGAATGAAGTCACGTTCACGTCCGTTCTCAAGGCGTGCTCAGAAACTGGTGAGTTCATGTTAGGAATGAGTTTGTTGGGTTTGATTATCAAGACTGGAAATGAACATAAGTTGTCAGTTTCCAATTCTTTGATCACATTGTTCTTGAGAATGGGCGAAACAGATTCTAGCAGGAGAGTGTTTGATAGCATGGCCAAAAGAGATGTAGTTTCTTGGACAGCCATATTAGATATGTACGTTGAGAATGGGGATTTGGTCGAAGCGAGAAGAATCTTTGACGAGATGCCTCAGAGAAATGAAGTTTCATGGAGCGCAATGATTTCTAGGTATAGCCAGAGTGGCCATCCCGAAGAAGCATTGAGCCTCTTCCACAAAATGGTACGAGAGGGAAAACTCATTAATGTATCATGTCTCTCTAGTGTTATAAATGCATTGACCACTGTCAAGGCTCTGCAATCCGGGATGAACATCCATGGACATACGGTGAAAATCGGGATGGAGAGAGATGTGTACATCTCCAGCTCTCTTATTGATCTCTACTGTAAATGTGGGCAGACTAACGAGGGACGCCTGTTATTCGATTCCGTTGCAGAGAAGAATGTTGTCACCTGGAACTCCATGATTGGCGGGTATGGGTTCAATGGACAAATGGAAGAAGCCAACTCGTTGTTTGAAGCAATGCCTTCACCTAACAGCGTCTCGTGGAGTGCTCTGATCACCGGTTACTTGGATAACAAGCAATTTGACAAGGTGTTTGACCTATTCAATCAGATGCTTTTGTTTGGAGAACGGCCAAATAAATCCACATTCTCTTCTCTGCTATGTGCTTGTGCAACCACAGCTTCTTTGGAAAAAGGGAAGAACATCCATGGCAAAGCAATCAAGCTTGGGATTCAGTCGGATGTGTTTGTAGGCACTGCTCTCACAGACATGTACGCGAAATCGGGCGATGTGGAGGGTGCCTGTAGGGTGTTCAACAGAATGCCGCAGAGAAATGAGTTCACTTGGACTGTGATGATCCAGGGGCTTGCCGAGAGTGGATTCGCGATGGAAGCCCTCAAGCTGTTTGACGAGATGGACAGTAGAACTCCACCTAACGACCTCATGCTCTCCTCGGTCTTCTTCGCCTGCTCTCACTCTGGCTTAGTCAACAGAGGACTCCAGTACTTCAGAACCTTTGAGACAAAAATGAACGGTTCGCACTACACATGTCTAGTCGACATGCTATCAAGAGCAGGGAGACTGGAAGAAGCTGAGGATCTCATCGAATCAATGCCAGTTGAACCGGAGCCCAATGCATTGGCAGCTCTACTGAGCGGCTGTCAAAGGCATAAGAACGAGGAGCTGGCAGAGAGAACGGCAAAGAAGTTATGGCGAGCAGCAGAGAGAGACTCTGGAGGGTATGTAATTTTGTCGAACTTGTATGCTTCAGCTGGGAGGTGGAAGGATGTTTTGGAAGTTAGGAAGCTGATGAAGGAGAAGGGATTGAAGAAGAATGGAGGTTGCAGTTGGATTGAGCTGAAGAATCAAGTTCATTCATTTCACTCTGGAGATGGAGCTCATTCTCAGTCCATCAAAATTTATGGTGTTTTGAAACTATTAATGTATGAAATGGTTCCTGTGTAAGATTTCTTCATACACTTATTATTCATCAAGTGCAAAGGAAATGTTGCAGAGAAAAATATATTCTAACTATTGGAAGATGCAGTTGGATGGTTCATTGTAAACTCGAATCGTTGATATAGTAAAATTGTAAGGTATTAAGATCTAAATTGAAATTTCAGCAACATTGTTACAGAGTGCTAAAGAACAGTCACAAAAGCTTTTGATGTTCAAACTATGGATGTGCTACATACCAGTGGATCTATAAAGATCAACACTTGGACACCAGTTTGTACAGTGAAAAAACAAAAACTGGATATTGCATAGTCTGATTTCGCTGCCCCAAGTACCAAAAGGCAACAAAAATCCATTATTCTTCAAACTGATGAGAGATGGAACCTATTACCTAAGCCAGTCAAACCATCATCAGAAATCTTGCAATGATCACTTGCATTTCCATATTTCAGTTCTGCAGTAGATACTGCATTACATCCTTCCTCAGCAATCCACCGAAACCACTTGTGCCGATCACAGGGCTTCGTCCGAACATCTCAGGACCTGTCCAGCTATTGAGGTGCCTGTACTGTGTCGTAGTTCCAGCAGGTCTTGGCGGCCTGATCATCATTGCGATAGTAGGGAACGGCTTAGACCATGTGGCTCTATAGGAAGAGAAGAGATGCCTGTTGGATGATTCGCCATTTCTGGATGACTGGACGCTGCCCGATGAATTCTTTAGGTTATTGGCGCTGCTGCTTGACTGAGTTATCTTACGTACATTTGATGACGTGACTTGATCGTGAGGGCGGATCCCAGCAGAAGGCTTCATCCTATCGAGCCATCGGAGAATCCAGTTGCCGACGTTCCTGCCTACTTCCAAGTCTCTCTGTTGTATGTTCTGGTGGACTGAAAGAGCAGCACTGAAAACTGCACGTGTCCGCCTGTGAGAAACAAAGAATTGAAAGGAATGGTCAGATGGTGAATGCTCTGACTAGAACCATGCAATTATAGTAATATAACGACAATTGAAAGTATCCAGCCAAATGAACCAAGCATAAGTAAAAAGACAGAACAAATGATGCCATAACAGAACCTCGCCCTCGTCATCAACCACAAGAAGTTCACAAAGATTTCCACAATGCAAGTATAGCTACAAGCATGTTACTATGAGCACTACTTACCTGAATCAGTTCGGTTCATCAAATAACGAAATCCACTGCTCATTAGAATTGGATAAGATCATCTCATCTTGTCGCCCCCAATTCAATAATGCCAAAAATGTTGCAATTAGTTGCCAATAGTTAGGTCAAAGTCTTTGTTAATTAGACACAATGCATATACCTATTACAACATATAGTAAGCGATTACAGAGCAGAATTCATCTCATTGTGCCAGCAGAGATCTTACACTGCCAACCCTAAAGAACACAGAGCTTCAAACAAGGGAGAGTTCATATTTCTTCATTACAATGGTGTAAACACCTCAACCGCAAAGTGAAGAAGACTATGATAGTCGAAAGGCGCTACTTCTCTTTTCCGATTAACCATTGGTTTCTGGTCCCTTTGAATAATGTCCTGCAAACTCTTTTCGTCGCCAAGTTTCCGCAACTGCATTCCCTATTCTCTAGTTCTTCCCCCTTCTTCATCCAACCAATCGTTTGTCAAGCAAAAAGTTCTCTATCAGACCAATTCACAACCTAATCGATTTATCAACTTAGTCGCGATTCAAGCATCCATTACGACTTCTCAACGATTTATCACAAGATTGCGGAAAAGAATCGAACTAATTGATCGACCGTACATCGAAGAAACAACAGACTCAATCGATGCAATGCGAGAGACTGAATGCGCATAAAGTGAGTGAGAGAGATTAGAGAAGCCGCTCAGACGCACCTATGGAGAAACTCGCGGATCTTAGGATGCTTAGGGCTAACGGCCTTGCGTTGTAGCTTGAGAGCGAGCCTGTAGGTCCGTTTCAGCCCCAAGAAGTAAGCCGTCGCTAGCGTGATCTCCCACAGCACCATTTTCCCTTCCTTCGTTTTGCTCTCCTCTTTCTTCTCCTTTTTCCCGAGCGCTTTCCGACTCGCCAAACGGTCTCCCCGTGAAACGAACGAAGCTCGAACGAGGCAGGAAAAGGGAATGAATATGTGGGAAGAGTGACTGCGCGGTGGTGGAAGAGGCGATTCGTTTCGTTTGCCGCAAGTTCTGTGTATTTCTTTCTTCCACTCTCTCGATGCGAGAAATGTCGAAAGTGGTGACGTTGCGGCGAATTTGTTTCCTCTCTCTCTCCCACGGATTTGCTGAGGTGGGCCGGTTCGGCCCAGAATACACTCAAATCGAACTGAACCGGATTCAATTTTGGATATAAAATATACAATTGAGTTGGGTGATACAAATAAATGAATTCGAAAGTATCGGCATCTCCTTTTCATAATACAAATAAATGAATATTTAATTATTTAATAAAGATAATTAAAATTAATAATATTCAAATAATTCACAATCATTGTTTTCATAAACAATTGATCGTGAGTCATGACGCGTTTTCATACTCTCCATTGTATCCAACTCAACAATCATTAGCAAATTGGTCGCAATTCGACTTTGAAACTTGTTCTTAATTTTCATCTAAAAGCAGGGGCACCTATTACTCACTCATGGGTATTTTTACTCAAATCCAAGTAAATTCTATAATTATTTGTAAGACATAGGTAAAGTATACACGAGTTTGAGGTTTTGTAGATGACTAAATGAGTTCGGATAGGATATGAATATTGCTTTCATACTCCAAATAAATAAGTAAAAGGAGATTTACTTATGGATTCGATAAGTCAGTTCATTTATTTGATGATAATCAACTCGCAATTTGATTTAAATTAATTCCAATTATATGTTCGGTGTGGGCCGAAAGCATGGTCGAACCGGTAACTCTTAACTCTTGTCAAATGGCAGATCGACAAGGATTAGTTAGGTTAATCACTAGATCTAGTGATTGTTATAGATAGTGCGCAAATTTGGTAGTGGAACTCCATGAAACCATCAATAAAAAACTTGTAGTAGTGGAATGATAAGGAAGAAAAGGACAGCAATTCTTCAGTATCTTTTCTTTGTATTTTCTGTTCTCACACTTTTGTTTCGCACTATCCTGAATCCTAATGGCAGGGAAGAAGTAGTGTGCGCTCTTATCATTATATAAATAAATGGGTTTCTGTCATGTTTAATGATCTGATTCAGGCAGCGGGGGTTAGGTCAATTTACAATTAATTATAAGGGATTGATGGCTATATAAATAATAAAATAGCTCAACATTAAGAATAAGATTATTGCAATTAGGTCTTGGGTAGTTGGAATTTTGAGATTGGACACTCCTAGGTAACTAGTTGGATTCATTTGGAAAGGTGGTTTTAGCAATGTGGTTATGTTTTCCGACAAAGAATTTTTTATGGGTAAAAAGGTTATGTAATAATTAAGTTTGATATTACAAAACTAAGCAATCGAGTCAAGCTAGCTCGCGTGCTTCACAAACTGAACAAGACTTAGTTCATGCTCGACTCATTAATAAATAAGTTGAATTTCAAACAAAATTTTTCCGACTCAAAGCGAGCAGCTCGACTCATTACCGTCCTAATTTTAAACAAAACATAGATTTTCACTTTCAGACATATTGATAGGCTGCTTGCATTGGTTTAGTTGGGTGGGCGTATTATTATTGTCTCGGACTCAAGAATGACACAGCTGACTGGGTGTTGCTGGCATATAGTTTTGGCCTTTTTCAGCCTAAGGCTAACTCCAATGCTGCCCCCATAAATGGGGGAGCCTTCACAAATGGAGGAGGAAGCTCTCCAATGCAACCTGCAAAAAAGGAATAAACTCCATTAATGGGGGTGGCCTCCATTTGGTTAATTTATTTTATTTCCTAAGATGATTTAAATTGAAGTGTTGTGTGTAAACCAAAATTAGGTCCATAATTTTTTCGCCAAAAAAATTTGGTGTCGAAATTTGAAAAAATTCTATCGGAAAATTTGTATCTTAAAATAATGACGAACTATACAAAAATTAAGATTAACGAATTATATTAAGGTTTCGATAAGTGCATTTTTAAGTAAATGTAAACATGGATAAAATGGAGATCCCCAAATTTGAGGTTAGTAGCATTGGAGCCAATTTGTGAAAAATGGGGGCAATCCCCCAAATTTGGGGATGAAGGTCCCCAAATTTGGGGTCTTGCATTGGAGTTGGTCTAAAAGTGATGGACTTCGGACATTGATCACTATTCACTACCTTGCAATTTGCTTCCCTTCTTTTTCCCCCCGGTAATTTTCCCTTCTTTTTCTTATCAAAGCAAAGTTTTTTGATGAGTGATCGCCTTGCATTTTTGTAGTTATCTAAAATGAATAATAGTAACGTAAGTTCGATCCGAAAAATTTCAATCGAAAGCAAAATTGGTATGTAATATTTAGCGCTAGCGGTATGAAACAGTTGAACCATGAATGAACCATGTTTCAGCATAAAATACCCTATCACATACTTTTTCGATACAACCTCCGATACGATTTTTCAATCATTCTTTAAAAGGACAAAATATATTTAAACTAGAAACTATCAATCAAATTTGTACTGAAATTATTATAAAAAGAATAAAATAAAAACTAAATTCTACTGATTGAGGAAGAAAGAAAAGACGTCGATCCTACTTCCTCTTCTCTTTGTACTCTCACAACAAACACTTCCATCTTCTCAACTTCTTTATGGCTGTGATAATAATTCATCATTAAAACAATTTATCCATGCTCTGCAAGAAAAGTTATACCGTTATCTGTCAGAAAATAGTAATTGATTACATCCTGATCTGCTTAACGAAAACTGAAAATTAATAAAAAAAAGTCTCTAAGTCTCTCGGACGAACTTAAGCACTTGATTAAGGAGATACCCTTAACCACCTAATCTCCTCTCCTCAACTAAGATCGAAAATGAAACATTTGTTACCCACGAAGAAAGTTTTAAGAATTTCTATCAAAGAGCCAGAACACAAATGAACAAGGAACATGCTTATTTGTTAGATAATCATAAATAATACATCCAGCATGCTAGATGTTAATTAGAAAGTGATAGATAATTAGAAGGAATTAATCCCATTTGATTAGAGAGAGCTAGCAGAGCAAAACGGAAGTCGAAAAACTAAAAAAGTAATAATAACCACCCGCATAGTCCCCGGCTCCGCGCAACGCCTCTCTCCTTCTCTCTCTCTCTCTCTCTCTCTCTCACTTGTTTTCTCGTCCCTAAGCAAGCAATGCAGCGGCAGTCGCTAGGCTCTCCGGTCTCCAAGCTCCACTTCCATGGCGGATCCGACGACGCCGAGGTTTGCGACAATTCCGCCACCTCCTCGCTCTCTCCTCCTCCTCCATCACTCCTGCTCGATTCCGACGACCGCCGCCTCAAAACAGCCAAATTACCTTCTCGCCGCCTCTCCACTTCCGCTTCCTCATCCTCCTCGCCGACTCCCACTCCGGAGAAGCTCATCCACCTGATTCCGATCATCCTCCTCTCCTGCTTCCTCATCCTCTACCTCGCCTCCAACAATCCCTCCCAATCAAGTAACAACAAAACGAATCCTACTTTCTCTCTCTCTCTCTCTCTCTATCTGTTTTCATTCTCATCCTCTTCCCCTAATTTCCGTGTCTGTTTCTGCAGATTCGCCGGAATTTATCCGTTTGAAGCACACAGGTACTTCCCCCATCCCCCTGCCATTTTTAAATTCCCATTCCTGCCGTCTCTTTTCTAGGGATTCTAAAAACAGAGACGTTTTCTCCCTGCAGCTTCGATCGAGATTGATTCCGCCGTCGCCGACAGCAAGCTGGGCGAGCTCAGAGCCAGGGAAGTGATGCCGATTCGGAGCTTCAGGAACTTGCATGAGACGGCAGCCAGAGACGCGCGCAGAATGTCCAGCTCCCAACACCGGAAATTCGCCGGGCTCTAAAACGGAACCCCCATCCGTCCGCCGCCACGATAAGTTAAACAAAACCCGTAATTTTCGTCCGGCCACCGACAGCTAAATCCAGCTCCATCCTGCGCTGTAAATCCGCAATTTTAATTTGAATTAGTTTTTTTTTTTGACAAAGATTAATTTGAATTAGTTGATGTGGATTAAAAATTTTCGTTTGATGTGAGCTTTTTTTTTTGGCTTGTGCGTGACTCGTTTGGTTGTGATTGGCTGGATAAAAGAGTAGCGATGGATTTGAGTAATTAGTGTGATAAATTAGAGAAAGACACCGCGATTAAGGATATGATTTAATTAGAACAGAGGAAGGGAATATGATTATGAAAATTATGATCATTGATCGTGCGGTCCAGCTGGAGAATTTATTGGGGGAATGGATAACAAACGCTGACTTGCTCTGTAAATCCTCGATGTGAGGGCTCGACTCTCGAGTGAAGACGACCGTTGGGATCTAGCTGTCAGGGAGTGAGTAGCGAAGGCTTTTATTAAATGGGCCGGCCCACAAACAGCGTTTATTCAATGGGCCGAAGGTTGATTAATCTCTTGCGCCGACAAAATCGTAATCGTCTGATTACGAAACGAACAGGATCGTGAAGGTCGATTTTAGTATATTTTACTACCCAATTGACGAAAGAAATGCCCCTCGACGTTCTTGTGCAGGAATCACAAAGGGAGAAAAGGAATGACTATTTATTTCGTTATATTATCTTGTGATTGTGAATCCAAAATAACACACGTCGAGATTGTAATGCAAATGCCAAGTTAGTCCAACAAAAGGGGGGGAGACAATTTTTGCAGTTTTTACATAAAAGCACTTGAAAAATCAATGAGCAGCATCTTCTTCCTCGCAGAATTTTGTGTAGTCCTTTGGGCCCATCAAGCTTTCCAGCTCCGATGGGTTGCTGGGCTTCACCTTTATCATCCACCCGTCTTCATATGGGCTCGTATTAACCTAGTTTGTATTTTTAAGCAGCAAACAGAAATTGGTCAATTGATTAATCATGTAAACGTCAGTGATTAGAGAAAAGGGTGTTAATTAGTATTAAATTAAATTATTAATACATTGTTTACATACCAGGCCTGGGGCTTCACCGAGCTTGTCGTTGACTTCCACGACCTCGCCGGAGACGGGGGAGTTCACGTCGCTGGTTGCCTTCACACTCTCAATGTTAGCAAAGCTGCCGCCTTGGCTCACGGCAGCGCCTACCTCCGGCAACTCCACGAACACCACTTCCCCCAAGTGATCCTACCAGTAGTTTACATCACCATTTCTTGCTCATTAATTATTAGTGTATAAAGCAGCAATTAAACTCGGCGCAAGTTGGATAATGCATCATGTATAAGATTCAACCTAACATTCTCTCAACAACTCGAGTTATTGGGACTAACTGGTTTATGACATGGTATTAGAGCCTGATTTAGTCAAGTCGTCGTGTGTTTGAATCACCACGACCCCCAATATTAACAGTTGATTAAAACACAAGGTATGGTGATCGCTTGTACAAATTTCAAACTCATGGGTTGACTTTCGTTATCAGTTGACATTTCTTCTGGTTAACAATGCCTCTAATAAGAAATAACATCGGCTTCCGGTTTAGGGTAACCTAATTGACAAATGGTTGACGGAGACACCCCTCAAACGAAAGCTACTCATATTAGTTTGAAGGTTGTACAATTATCATACATTATGTGTTTAATAACGGGGTTATCGAGATTCAAACAGTAAATGTCTCACTCACATGAACCTCAGATATCATGTCAAAACCAGCGAATCCTAATAATTCGATTAATTGGGAGAAACTAATAATAATTTATAATCTTGTACCACATGATAAGAAGCACTAATGCATTCGACCAACAAAAGACCCAAATCTCTAATGCTTTTTTGCTCACTCTATCCATATCCATACCAGTACGCGTACTAACAACATAATTCAGTAACCAGGATTCATTGAAGAGATACCTGAGCATGATCTGTGATGCCAACAAGAGCAACAGAACCTTCATGCTTCACCCACTCGTGCGACTTTGCATACTTTAAGCCGTCCAGAACTGCGAGCGCACAATGTTTTCATCCTCCCATTACCACTAAAAAAATCGACAAGGCCTGTGATTATAGTAAGATTGTTTAGTTGATGTGAACTTACCAGAGGAGAAGCATCTGGATAGAGGCGCCAAGGCTGGAGCTTTGGAAGCAACAGAGAGGCCTAGAGCATTGGCAGTGGAAGATGCCCAAATCCTGAGTGCCATTTTTTCCCCCTCTCTGGTTTGTTTCCAAGATTATCTCCCCTGTTGTTTCTGGGTTCTCTTTGCTCCAAAATGAAAGGCCTCTCTCCCCCCTCTCTTTCTTCTTTCTGGTGTTATATCTTGGTTTTCAGTTTTTGCAGGGAAAAAAAAGGGTTTTATCTTGGATGAACGGTGAGCAGCAAAAGCCTCATCCTTTTGTCTCATACGGCTAATTGGCACTTGCTCTTTCTTCTTTCCAGAGCTATTGCTGTTTTTCGTTTTTTCCCCCCCCCCTACTCAATCGGTGCAACAATGGCTTGGGCTCTCGGCCCGCGTTTCCATCATCAGGCCCATGTCCCAAAAACTGGTTCGCGCCAAAGCCCATAAGACCACACCGTGAGACCTCGGTAAAGAGGAAATCAAACCGACGAAAAAAGGAATTTGGGGAAATCAGAGATCGAAATTGATCAGCCATGGTGGAGATCGTCGAGGAAGAAGACGGCGGCGCTCCTCGGAGTTCCAGAACCGGAGAATTCGTCAACGGTGGCGTCGAGAAGAAGAGAACAAAGGAAGTGAATATGGTGGAGATCACGCTCAAAACAATTGGCCCTTCTCCCTCTTCTCGCCTCCACATTCCGTCTCCCGTCACGGTACCGCTCCCTTTTACCTCGCTCTTCTCTTTCCCCGCTTATGGTTTCAGTTGCAGGACCTTCATTCAGAGCTCAGTTAGACATCTGTTGTTGCCCTGTGTGTTACTTTGGATTCCCCCTGCTAGGAAGTCCATTCTGTCTTGTTATGCTGGTTTATGCAATTGCAATTTGCAAAGGCTTGTTGAAAAGTACCAATGGTGTTGCAAAATACTTATCATTTATGGTTCTTAGTATGTGCTTTTACTTGGCTTTCAAATGAATTAGGTGCGTGACTTGAGGAAATTGATAGCTGAAGATAAGAATCTTCCGGTTGAAAATCTGAGAGTAGTCTTGCACGGGAAGATGGTGGAAGATGGTGGAGATGATGATAGGCTCGTTAGACTAAAGGATAATGGTAATTCCTTTTTATTGGTATCTCTCTCTGTGTCAAGCATTATGTCCTATGTTGTAGAGATAGTGCCTTGAGTCTGACGAATGAAAGTAATCTCGGAGAGCATTGGCTGGAACAACGCAAAGTACCTTTCTTGCTTCCCCAAGAATCCCAAAAGGAAATCATATAGAGCATGGCTCGAACAAAACGAAATTCGTTGTCTTGGTTTTCTCTAGGAAGCAAATGTATTTATCATCTGTAATAAATCCACAATGCTCCTACTATATTTGCATTACTCAGCCTTCTGATCAAAGCTCTTAAATGGATAGTCTGCAACTTCAAATCTACCTTGATTTTTGTTTTCCGGCTGCTAGATGGCTCTATCATTCAGTTTGAGAAGCATGTCAAAATTTCGGCCTAGTGTTTTGTGAACATTCAACTGTTTATACAAAATAAGTGTTCTTAGCATCATGCACTTATCGTAAATCTTCTTTGTCTTTTATTTTCTAATTGTTGCTGTTTTATCCAACTTTTAGATTCTTTGATTGTGGCTGTGAAACCAAAACCTCCTGCTAAGCATCTCCAGGATGGATGTGACGACGACGATGATCTGGTACCTCTTAATAAGTAAATGCCATTGAGCTGAGACTACTTGGTTCTGTGAAATAACTTCTTTAGGCAAATTTTCTCATCTTACTTCTTGGGTAACCAGAAATTTCAGCTGCCACAATCAACAAGTCCATGGAAGAGAAAGCTGTACTTTTTTCTTCGCCACAAGTTGAAACTTCCAGGCAAGCTTCCTGTGGTAGAGTTCTTGCATCTTTAGTTTTGCCTACTAATATCAGACCCTTCTTTGTTTAAAATGCTCTTCGCTTTGTTGTGAGCAGATATGCTTTTAGCTGGACTTTTCTCACTCTCTGCAAAGGTTTGGGCGGTTATTATTTTGTGGTTCATTTTGGCACCTGTTGCTAATAGATGGCATCTTGGTCCTTTATACGTAAGTTCTTCTACCTCTTCATTTCCTTTGTAATTAATGCATGCACTTTATGTTTGTCTGTTAGAGGTCACAAGACTAGTTGATTGTGTGAAAAGCAACATCTCTCTCTAATAACTATGTGCTCCTGCCATCCTTGTTAACCTAAAGCCAGACCGAAACATTTAAACCTTTAAAATCAAGGGGAGATCTTGGACATACGCTACATATGTGCTTTTGAACAAATATGTTACCGTTATCCAAATCCTGAGCCTGACTCAAGTGACTGCTTAACTTTCAGATACTTGGCACGGGCTTTGCAATTATCTTCCTGAATCTGGGACGAAGGCAAGCAGGAGATGTTAGGTATGCACTTTGGTCGAACGCAAAAACCCCTGCTCTAATGGCTTCCATTAAAATTTCAAAATGAAATGGATGATGACTATGCTTACCTTACCCGTTTCGAACCTAGGATTTACTTAAGCTCAAGTTAGAAGAGCTAACAAACAAATCTTAGTAAACTAAGCTTGTTCTTACAATCTATTATAACTATTCTTATTTTTTCTACATATCAAAAGACATCTCCAATATCTCAAACTTGCACCATATAGTCCTACTCGGTAACTTGAATTTAAAGAAATTCAGTAGGATACATTTATTCCGGTTCTCTATAGTCTCCGGAAGAGTTTTGGAGTGTAAAGAAATGCAGTTTCTGTTTCAATTGTGACAAGATATGCACCAAACAATTCATAACATGCAAACCAAATATGCAACTGTGATTTTCTTTTTTTGTGTTTTTCCCCTCAACCTAATTTGAACCTTTTGAGCTTCTAGATGATGTATCGCAATCTTCTGTCATTCATATTCATGTCCGTATTCTTACATACTCCAATCCCTCTTTGTACTTCATATGATATCTAACCACATTGGCTGCTAGTGATCTCTGCTATATCCTGCATATTGGTTGATCGTTAATAAGAGCTACCTGGCTTTCTGTGAATTTTACAGCGCATATTCAATCTTCAATGAAGACTTCAGGGAGCTTCCCGGCACTCTGAATGCTGATCGCTTGGATAGAGATATCCGTGCTGGTCAGATGTGAGAGCTGATAACTTACGTTTGTTGATAAAAAACACATTTGCCAACTGCACAGAAATTTTTTGTTGTATATGTTGTTAACCCTATTAAGTGATATGGTGTAGTATATTTCTAAGTGATGAACCCTCTGGAGTAGTGAATTCTGATGTTTACATCATTTACTGATGTCAGCATATATGTGAACGGGGCAAAGGAAAACCAGTGTTTCGGATACTGGATCATATCAATCAGTTGTATCAGCTTAGATGTGATTTGTTGTTCAAGCTTCTACGATTTCATTACGATCTTATTAAGGTTTTCACATTGTGTGTACGTGATCTGATCGTTGTATCATTAGTCTCGCCGGAGAAGAGTATGAACTAGTGTTTGGTTTCATGGAAGGGATGTAGAGAGGTTTTGGAAAGAAAGTCTGCTGTAGGATGTGGGATGTGAAGAGTTTGGTGAAGAGAAATGGAGTGGTTCCTCTTCTTTGTAGTGGAATGTGATGAGAGCTTTGGGATAAAATATACCGAAGGCTGAAGAACAGCAGAAGTGAGTTCACCAACGAGTTTACCTACTCAACTATACCAAATAGTGGATCACATTCCCATGCCTCGCTAGTAGGGTTGTGGTGTAGAGATTCCAAATTGATTAGCTACTATCAATCCAAATATTGATAGTCCGATTCGTTCCTCGCTCACAAGTAGGGGCGACGGTTCGGTTTGAGTTTTTTTTTTTTTTTGTTTCAACCGAAGCCAAATCGGTTTTGCAGGTTTATTGATTCCACAGAGAAAATCGATAAGCTCTTAAGGGTTTCGATTTTGGTTGAAACCGAAAAATTGTAATAAATCGATACATCCTTAACGCTGTTAAATGTTCTTTTTCAGTTTTATGGTTTATTATAACCGGAACCGAAAGTAATAAGAGGTTATCGATTTTCGGTTAAGCGATATGCCATTGAACACTTCGGTTTTTGGAGAGTTGACTAATTCGCTTTTCGATTGAGTTTAACAGAATCAAACCGAACCACCACCCCTGCTCCCAAAGTCCCACTAAAACCCGAATAAAATTATCAAGAAAAAACAGAGTGAGAGATCTCACCCTCGGTTGATAACTAGTTAGCTAGGTTGGTGGGAGTGGGGGAACCTTGTGTTGTGCTGTTGAGTTGACAAAACCCAGAGACAAAAGGAGTTTGAATTCGAAGACACAAGCCATTTTCTATAGGTAAGAAAGAAAAAAAATTGATTGATAGATGCTTCGAATGTGCTCCTTATTACTAGGTTTTGCAAAGAAATTTGAAGTCTGTCCGTTGACTTCATTGATACACACGTTTTGACTACAAACACACAGATCTGCTCTCCCATTGGGGAGTTGCTAAATGCTAACCAGCAAACCTCTTTGACTTAAATCCCAAAACCCCAAAAGAAAAGGAAAAAAAAAGTCATCAACAAAGAAACGTACACCATCCATTCCATCCCCACCACCCAAACTTTGGCCTCTTTTTTTCCTTTCAGTTTTCCACCTCAACTCTTCTCTTCTTCTTCTTCTTCTTCTTCCCGCCTTCACAGTGCAAACAATTTACTTCTTCTCTCCCTCTTCAGACTTCACCGTTCTCTACAACCCCAAATTAAAAAATTAAAAAAACACTATGTTGGGGTATTACTAAAGGGTCCCAAAAGAGGGCCCAAGAGAGAGCCTATTTAATTGAAAATAGCCCAAGACAATGGGCTAGGAGAAGAAGCCCGCAAAGCCCACCAGGCAGCACAAGTATGGAGACAAAAGCACTAAAGACCAAAGAAACTCAGGCTGGCATGTGGTCCCCCGCCTGTGGGCGCCTGCCAGCCGTCAGAAGCCTGGCAAGGTGGTTGGGGCTTCTGACAGGGTTACAAGTACAGAGCATTTAATGTGATGGTGACGTGGAGAAGATCCATCTCGAACTCGGTGAGTATAAATAGGGGCAGTTGGTAGCATTTACACAGGTTGGGCTCTCTCACTAAAACCCTTGCTCTAAAGCACTTCTCTCTCTAGGATACTGACTTGATCATCGGAGGGCTAACGGGCCGAGGCGCCCCCCTTTGTGCTCATGTGTATAGGCAGACGCCGGACAGGAAGGACGCGGGAGTGCCAGCTGGGCGCCGAGGCTCAAACACACTCAAATACTAGTAGTCTTCTCCCTTTGGCTCTGAGTCGAGCTGGTTTGATTCGAAAAAACTGCGCTGGATCGTATATCATTGACTTTGGAATTGGATTTGAGAGAGAACAAAATGATTAGAAAAAAGAAATGACGGGATAGATTCGAGTTTACGTTAATGGATTGGTGTTTTAGTTACTTTTACCCCAATCTTGTACTAATAATATTTAGTTGCTTCATTCTTTTAGGACTTACTTTAGACTATTTATTGTAGTGTTGTCTAACCATTCTCGCTCGTAAAAGAAAATAAATTCACTAAGAGTTGTGATATTAAGAATGAGAATCAAATTGAAGAGAATAAATTACGATTCAATCTCATCGGCATATTATCTGCTCTACAGTAGAGAGTCCAAAGCAGGTCGATCATTCAAATGTGCCCATTCAAGATTTGTTTTGATCACATGTAGTATTGGATGTGAATAATTTTGAGAGATTACAACTTAGTTGTTGGAATTTGCCTATCATCATCGCCCAACACACTCTTCTTGTTGATGCTCATTCACTCTCAAACAGGAACATACATCTCTCACCGATGTGTACATGGCTATATTTTAGTAACATGACAATTTCGATACGGAACAAAATGAATCGTACATTCAAACTGTCTTATGAGATTTTAATATAATGTTTGTACATGATTGAGCAAAAGTTCATACTTGAAATCTTCTATGGGCACCAATTTGTGAAGGATTTTGCTAGTCATAGCTAACTAAGTAGAAAATTAGAAATCAATTTAACCATAAAAACCCCAATTTGTGACTTGGTTTTTCCTTTGACAACCTTGTAGTTGGATTTTTCGAAATACGTGGAGAAGTCCAATTATGGGCATGTTTGGAGGTTGGGATTCTCCAAATAGATGTATTTAATCAATTTGTGTATTATCATTTGATGTATTGATTCAATGCATGAATTAGAAAAATACATTGTTTGGAGAATCAATGATGGAACAAAAAATGAAGTAGACAATCCTTTATTAACAATCTCACCTTTTGGCAGAGATTGATAATCATTCATTTTGAGTGATTGTTGGTGGGCCCAGGAAAAAGGTAATACATGCATTCTAACTCAAACTGAACCAAAAAAACGACTTAATCTTACCATTACATGTATTGGTTAAATACCTCACTTGAAATCCCAACCTCCAAACGACCCCTAAGATTATCTGCCTCGTAATGGATGGAAACTTATGCATGTATTAGACTACTAATTAAATGGGAAAATTACATATAATATTAGTTTAAGTAATGGTAACACAATCAAGAACTAGGTCAGTGTGCATATTGCATACACCTACATGTGAACAATAATATATGATCTAATATTTTGGGTCATTTTGGAAACTAGCAAGAGGACACGAGGGAAATCGTGCATTGTCTATTCGATCATCGAAACGGCAAAACACATATATTTAGTATATGTGCTATAATTTTTTTTAACGTATGCATGTAAATGTATGAATTTTAAGCAATGCCTGCCTTAGGTTTTGGTAAACTACATTATAAATCAATTTTGGTAGAACTTTAAATAAATAAACGTACTACAGATAAATGATGGAGGTAACTAAACAGCTGATACAAATCAAATTTGTTACTCGACCCAGTATCACCAACCCACATTGTCATAAACCAGTCTAGCCTCATGCTTCCCTTTAAGTGGTAAAATGTACGAGTTGACGCATTGAAATCTCAGTTAAATTTTGACGAAAATGCATAGCGTGACTACTGACTAATTATATCAATAGAATTATTATTTGATAACCATTTAAAAAAAAAATTCAACTACCAAATTTGGCAGTCATCCAATCTTTTAGGGGTGGGCAACGGGAAACGGGTATTTGGGTATACCCGTACCCGTCCCATTTTTTGAGGGTTATGGGTACTCAAATACCCGTAATATTTTTTTTATGGGATGAGATTTGGGATAAAAATCGATACTTTGGGTACCCGCCCGTTATTCATTAATACCCATTTGGGTATTACGATTTACGGGTATCCGTTATACCCGTTTGTCCAAAATTATTGCAATATAGTTGCAAGTGATTGTGCTGCTCGTCGGCATTACTTCAAACAATAAAACCATAATTGTCAGAAGCCCAATCAACCAGGAATGAAGGCAATGATTACCTAATTATATGTAGTGATTAAGCTAATTTTGCATGGCCCAACATGTAATCATTCCACAACTATCTTTGTATTGTAATTTGTATGTGACATTTTAGACGTAATAGGTGAAGTCATGCTATTTCAAAGAGTTGACATATTCTTACATTATTTTCATGGACAATACTATGTAGTTGCAGAATAATAGATGAGATTCGCTGGGCTTTTTTGTGTTGTTGTTTTGGTTTGTGTGGAGAAGAAATGATTTTGTTGTTTCTAGGAACGGGAGATGCAAAGAAGGGATTCGATGGAATTTTGAAATGGGTACCCATTATCCATCCCGTACGGATAACGAGTACCCATAACCCGTACGGATTTGGAACATGGGATAAAAATTGCTCTTTAAATAGGACCGAGTACCCCTTTTAAACGGGACGGATATTCCATCCCGTCCCGTTGCCCACCTTACAATCTTTGGTGATTGTTCATGTAGTATTTTACCCATTATTAATCCACACATAAAAAGTAAAATGTAACTGCTTCTGTATTTTTTGGAAGCGGTCCGCTGGTGTTTAGCTCAAGGTTTTATGGCAATGCGGTTTGAGGGGGACGCTAAGGTGGTTATTGATAAGCTCTGTCGGTCTGAGGTGCAGGATAGTCGTGTGGGGGGCTATTTTGGAGGAGATGACTTAGATTTTTAGGGCGCATACAGGCTTCAGTGTGCGATTTGTGGGTCGGGGTGACAATAGGGTAGCTTATATGGTAGCTAGACATGCCCTGTCTTTGTTCCCGACTACATGTCGTTATTTTGATTTTCAGACCTGGCTGAATTACAGAATGTAACTATCATTTGGTTCTATCAATATATGATTATCTTTTATAAAAAAAAAGTATTTTTTTCTTTTTTGCCCCAATACATATAATATTTTACATTCCCCTTGGTTTTGGCCTTGAGTCCGGGGTTACCAATTGCCAAGGTCAAACCCTCGCTTTCCGCTTTGTCTTTTTTTCCCGGCCCATACTCCTCACTCCTCACTCCTCACCCTTTCTCATTCCCCAAAACCACCCACATACTCTCTGACGCTATTCTCTTCAGTCCTTCTCCGCCTTACCAATTTCTCTTACATGCTCAAACT